AGAATTCAAGGCGGATAGCGGATAGCGGCGTATAAGACGCTTAATCGGTTTAGGTTTGGTAATAGCATCAACTTTATTAGGAACCCATCGTACTATATTATGGTCAGCAGACCCAAGCGGAGCAAGAATATACGGCTTGTCATAAAAATCTTGTAAATCGGTGACGATGAGATCAAGAGTAGAAGACCCCCTTGTAGGAGCAGAAACGACTTGCTTCAAACTAAGACTACGGGTTAGGTTCGAAACATCAAAATTATTAAAATCACCAAGGAATACGATTCTACAATTAGGATAACAATTCCTAATGGAATCCGTTGTGTTCATCAGATATTCATCAAGATCACGTTGTTCTTCAGCAGTTCTGCCAGGGGGGTTATACACAACGCTAACTGCAATAGCCGAGAGAGGTCTTGGCAGTCGTGTCGGGCGGATCCATAACCAAAGACATTCAAAATTCGGATTTTCAAAATCTAGTCTCCGTTGACAGGGAATGTTTTTCAAAGAATAAACGCACACACCACCTCCCCGGCTACCTGTACGATCGTTACGGTGGATATTATAGCCACTGATTGATATCAAGCTATCATCAACATCCTTGTGTAGCCACGATTCTGTTATAGCCACTAGATCCATTGGGTTACCATCCAGAAGTACAGCAAGTTCGTCGATCTTAGGCAATAACGAGCGGGCATTTATTAGGCCAAAGCTTGGAAGTGCATGAGGTTTAGAACGACTAGTAGTTTCTATAAGATTATTGTACCTCACAGATATTAAATTATTAATATTCCGCCCATTTCGTTTTGTTCTATGTCTACGGTTGCGGTGTGAAATTCTCACTGATATTGCATTAAAGGATTCAGTATACGGTGCACCAAATCCAAGTGCTGTATCCAGTCTGTCCGTCGGCGTGCATAACTCGGCCGAAAACCCTGTTGACGATTTGCTCTAACCTTAGATGGAATACGATAGGTAATGCGTGTGGGGATAGCTTGGTTAATATCTTGTTTATGCAGATCCTTACATTGCACTCGAGGTGGATTATTATTGTTGTTGTGGCAGCCTTCTTCAGTCGGGCCGCCCTTGTTTAATAAGTTAGAACAGAAGTTCTGTCTTCTTTTAAATTCATTTGAATAAATTGAATTAGTAACTGTTCTTGGGATTAAATTCGAAACAAAGGTATTAGTCGCAGATGACTGATTAATCTGTTTTTCACTGTGGTTTACAATTGCATGCTTCGACGGTTTTAATATTTGTACTGCACACGTACTATTCACGCTTGTATATGTTGACATGGGTACTAAACCCGTTGGGGAAAGATGTAATTCGTCAACAGTAATCTGATTCTGATTGTTTACGATTAAATCTTTTGTACTGGTCGATTTATCATAACAAAGAGTTTTTGGCCGTGGGAGATCTTTTTCCAGCAAATTAGAATATTCTAAAAGCTCACTCACACTCACACTCAATGAGTGGGAGTTCAATCTGAGCTTCTCTCGTGTCATTACATGCTGTTTTTGATTAGCTGAAGGGTTAGTGTCTTACCTTACTATGTGACTACTCACCCTCATTGACACTCAAGAGAAGCTCAGATTGAACTTCCACTCATTGAGTCTGAGTGAGCTTTTAGAATACGGGCGTTAAAGTCATCCAAATCAACTACATGTAGTGTATATTGATTATAGATGGCAACTTTCATTCTTCAACAAGGTATAACTTCAAGATTTAAGATGGCAAATAACTAAATCGGTTTCACGAAATAGTATGTTGTTTTCGAAAATAACCAGGCTATAACGTATAATAGACCAAGTTGAGGAAAAATAACTTTGTTTGAAAGCTTAGAGTGGAGGAAGGAGAGCAGAACTGATCATTCAAGTACTAAACAAAGTAACCGGCGGTGAACCACGCGGCACCTGCCGGAGCTCCGGCGGCCGCCGGCTTATTTTGAATGCCCTGGATCATCTCTTATTGATCCAGTGTTACTGCAGGAGGGAACCTAAAGTAAACTGACTTTATTTTATTTATACTGGATAGCTCTATCAATTCTAAATTGTTCTTCCTAGAGGTCCAGTAAGGATAATCTCTTATTGATCCAGTGTTACTACAGGAGGAAACCTAAACTAAACTAACTGTATTTTATTTATACTGGATAGCTCTATCAATTCTAAATTGTTCTTCCAAGAGGTCCAGTAAGAGTCATCTCCTATTGATCCAGTGTTACTACAGAAGGAAACCTAAACTAAACTAACTTTATTTATACTGGATAGCTCTATCAGTTCTAAACTGTTCTTCATAGAGGTCCAGTAAGAGTCATCTCTTATTGATCCAGTGTTGCTACAGAAGGAAACCTAAACTAAACTAACTTTATTTATACTGGATAGCTCTATAAGTTCTAAACTGTTCTTCCTAGAGGTCCAGTAAGAGTCATCTCTTATTGATCCAGTGTTGCTACAGAAGGAAACCTAAACTAAACTAACTTTATTTATACTGGATAGCTCTATCAGTTCTAAACTGTTCTTCATAGAGGTCCAGTAAGAGTCATCTCTTATTGATCCAGTGTTGCTACAGAAGGAAACCTAAACTAAACTAACTTTATTTATACTGGATAGCTCTATCAGTTCTAAACTGTTCTCCCTAGAGGTCCAGTAAGAGTCATCTCTTATTGATCCAGTGTTACTACAGGAGGAAACCTAAACTAAACTAACTTTATTTATACTGGATAGCTCCATCAGTTCTAAACTGTTCTCCCTAGAGGTCCAGTAAGAATCATCTCTTATTGATCCAGTGTTACTACAGGAGGAAACCTAAACTAAACTAACTTTATTTATACTGGATAGCTCTATCAGTTCTAAACTGTTCTTCATAGAGGTCCAGTAAGGATCATCTCTTATTGATCCAGTGTTACTACAGGAGGAAACCTAAACTAACCTAACTTTATTTATACTGGATAGCTCTATCGGTTCTAAACTGTTCTTCCTAGAGGTCCAGTAAGGATCATCTCTTATTGATCCAGTGCTACTACAGGAGGAAACCTAAACTAAACTAACTTTATTTCTACTGGATAGTTCTATCGGTTCTAAACTGTTCTTCCTAGAGGTCCAGTAAGAGTCATCTCTTATTGATCCAGTGTTACTACAGGAGGAAACCTAAACTAAACTAACTTTATTTCTACTGGATAGTTCTATCGGTTCTAAACTGTTCTTCCTAGAGGTCCAGTAAGAGTCATCTCTTATTGATCCAGTGTTACTACAGGAGGAAACCTAAACTAAACTAACTTTATTTATACTGGATAGTTCTATCGGTTCTAAACTGTTCTTCCTAGAGGTCCAGTAAGAGTCATCTCTTATTGATCCAGTGCTACTACAGGAGGAAACCTAAACTAAACTAACTTTATTTCTACTGGATAGTTCTATCGGTTCTAAACTGTTCTTCCTAGAGGTCCAGTAAGAGTCATCTCTTATTGATCCAGTGTTACTACAGGAGGAAACCTAAACTAAACTAACTTTATTTATACTGGATAGCTCTATCAGTTCTAAACTGTTCTTCCTAGAGGTCCAGTAAGAGTCATCTCTCATTGATCCAGTGTTACTACAGGAGGAAACCTAAACTAAACTAACTTTATTTATACTGGATAGCTCTATCAGGTCTAAACTGTTCTTCCTACAGGTCCAGTAAGGATCATCTATTATTGATCCAGTGTTACTACAGGAGGAAACCTAAACTAAACTAACTTTATTTATACTGGATAGCTCTATCAGTTCTAAACTGTTCTTCCAAGAGGTCCAGTAAGGATCATCTATTATTGATCCAGTGTTACTACAGAAGGAGTCGGACTTACCGGCGTACCTGGGGGAAACCTGCGGTGTTTGGTGGAGTCAAACTGGAAGCACTCCTCTCACATGTGACTGAAGAAATATAATAGCTCTTCTTGCTCTATTTACTAGGACCCTGGCCGCGAAAGTGAACAAGATCTGAGCGGTTTAGCTTTGGGAAACCCTGACCAAGAACTCGACGAAACCGATGCGCATCATTTGGACACTGAGACTGAAACACAACCGCTGACCTTTCGCCAAAACCGTTCCTCTATCGCGGTCTCAGCCTCTTCCAAACAGGCGGGGATTAATATCAATGGCCTAGGTTGGGTGCAGAAACTTCATGAGCCGTCCGAAGAGGACTGGACAGCAGCGATGAAGACCAGTGTAGATTGGAAGTCCCTTACTATCCCTGCATGTCTCCCTGTGACCACAGATTACAAACCTGATAAACGGCTGCTTAATAATCATTATAAACTCTACACTTATGATTTGTACTTGGATGCTGACAATGAGTAAGTTAAGATGTCACTTTCACCCACCCACCCTGTAAATATTCTGTGTGGGAGAGAGTCTCGGTCAATGCCAGTAAGTTCTGGACACGATCGTATAATCTGATACATTTATGCGTTCTGTTTAGTTTATCAAACAAAGATGATGTTGAGCGTGTTGTGATGAAACCGGAAGAGCAGCTTAAAGAATTTATTTCACAGAGAATTGGACAGGTTTGTAACGGTTTGTTTTAAATGACATGAGGAATTCATTTCTAAACTCCTTAGAAGTCCAGTAAAGGACATCCTTACTCATCCACTGTTAGTGCAGAATGAAATCAGAGTAGTCGGTGAGGACCCTGGTTCTCACATGTGACTGAGGTGAAATTTTCTCTTCCAACTAGGGTTTCCAACTAGTGTGTTCCGGCACTCCACAAGAACGCGCCATATATTTCTCGCCAATCAGCCAGCCTCGTTCCGGTGTCATCCCGCAAGGAACCCCGGATGAAGAGTACTTCTTTATGATGGGACGAAATTTTCACAAGTTGACCTACACACTCTCTTCAGATCAGGTGAGCCTTACTCAGTCAAACTAGCACTTAAGGTGGCTTTATCCCTGGGGCTTACGTTCTTCCATAGTCAGAAAACCATTTAGCTAGTTTTCATAATGCACTATTTTTTTGTATTGTTTTTTCGCCCAACCAACCAATGGCAGACTGCGCTGGTTTGATTACTCAGTCATGATATTACAATACACACGTGACGGTGAACCGACCATTTATTGCATAAACCAAGACAAAGATAATGAGGTCTATTAGCCATTCCGAAGTTGACGAGTGGACTGGGGGCGAGTGTTAAAAAGTGCCCAAATTAAGAAATGAACCAATCATTAAAAAGACCACCTCAAAATTAATAAGTATACAAAGTTTGAAGACGTCTACATGAATATCCTTCGAATAATAAGCTTTCCAAAATTGTGAAATTGCTCATTAAAAGATTGTTTTGGGGATTGTTTTTTACCACGATTTTCGAAAGCTTATTATTCGAAGGATATTCATGTAAACGTCTTCAAACTTTGTATACTTACTAATTTTGAGGTGGTCTTTTTAGTGATTTGGTTCATTTCTTAATTTGGGCACTTTTTAGCACTCGTCCACAGTCCTCTCATCAACTTCGGAATGGCTAATTATGTCTGCATTGAGTTTCCTAACTTTCTTATTCTATTGACTATGGTTTTTCGTATATAAAATGATTATGTTGTGTTGTAGGTGTCTTTTATCCGGTATCATCCTACCCACGTTATAAACGTACACCCGGTATCTTACTCGTACCGTCTTTGGTCAGACTGTACTCAGCAGTATGTGAAAATGAATACGCCATTTGTTCACGATGATTTGACAAACTATAACTGGAATTATATGGATCAATATATCGCTCGAGACCAAGACTGCCTGGGCCTTATTGAGGTAAGCTTCTAAATATATGATAAACCTCTCCTCACAAACACTTCTCTAACTCTTGGATTTCATATGACGTCACGTGGGGGTGAAGGGTCTGTTTCTAGGGTAAAAGACGGCTTTAATATTCTTTATATTGTTTTATATTATTGTCGGACAACTCATTTACACAAGATGCGCTGACAGCCATTGACCCCAGTAAATAAAGTTAGTTTAGTTTAGGTTTCTTCCTCTAGTAACACTGGATCAATAAGAGATGACTCTTACTGGATCTCAAGGAAAAACAATTTAGAACTGATGGAGCTATCCGGTAAATAAAGTTAGTTTAGTTTACATGTTTCCTCCTGTAGTAACAGTGGATATAAGAGTCATCACTTATTAGTGATGACTCTTACTGGATCTCAAGGAAGAACAATTTAGAACTGATAGAGCTATTCAGTATAAATAAAGTTAGTTTAGTTTAGGTTTCCTGCTGTAGTAACACTGGCTCAATAAGAGATGATCCTTACTGAACCTCTAGGGAAAACAGTTCAGAACTGATAGAGCTATCCAATATAAATAAAGATAGTTTAGTTTAGGTTTCCTCCTGTAGTAACACTGGACCAATAAGAGATGATCCTTACTGAACCTCTAGGGAAAACAGTTCAGAACTGATAGAGCTATCCAATATAAATAAAGATAGTTTAGTTTAGGTTTCCTCCTGTAGTAACACTGGACCAATAAGAGATGATCCTTACTGAACCTCTAGGGAAAACAGTTCAGAACTGATAGAGCTATCCAATATAAATAAAGATAGTTTAGTTTAGGTTTCCTCCTGTAGTAACACTGGACCAATAAGAGATGATCCTTACTGAACCTCTAGGGAAAACAGTTCAGAACTGATAGAGCTATCCAATATAAATAAAGATAGTTTAGTTTAGGTTTCCTCCTGTAGTAACACTGGACCAATAAGAGATGATCCTTACTGAACCTCTAGGGAAAACAGTTCAGAACTGATAGAGCTATCCAATATAAATAAAGATAGTTTAGTTTAGGTTTCCTCCTGTAGTAACACTGGACCAATAAGAGATGATCCTTACTGAACCTCTAGGGAAAACAGTTCAGAACTGATAGAGCTATCCAATATAAATAAAGATAGTTTAGTTTAGGTTTCCTCC